TAAGAGGCTAAGTACACTTTCCCCTGAACACTCAGGAAAGCAGCAGCAGCTACAGAACCAGGCCAGTGAGGGGGAAGTGCTGCATCTGAGCAACTTCTACTGACTTCTGTGGGAGTTTGTTGGTGTAAGGGGACTGTTGCCTCCTTACTACCACTCGGGGGGGTGTTTTGGTTGGCTAGCTCCCAGCACTAAAAGGGGAGGGGTCGATAGAAAATCAGGACCCTGAGACTGACAGTCCCCAGGATCAATGGCGAGAGGCCAATGCTCCAGGTCAGCCTGATTGACAGGGCAGGCAGGCTAATCAGCATGACAGGAGGCCAGGGTGGGCCCCATCCTCCATGTGAGCTGGAATTGCCTGGGTCAGACTTAGTGGGGCCGAGCTAAGGAGAAAGCAGGGGCCCAAGCTGAGCTGGAGAGCAGAACTGTGCCAGATCCAGAGGGGCCAGAGGCGCAGCCACAGAGCCAGAGACGCCGCCCAGGGAGAGCAGATCCTGTGCTGGGAGCAGAGCTGCAACCACAGAGCCAGAGACGCCGCCCAGGGAGAGCAGATCCTGTGCTGGGAGCAGAGCTGCAGCCACAGAGCCAGGTGTGGTGAGCAACTGGGGCCAGCCAAGGGGGGACCTTGGGCAAAGGGCCCAGCACAGAAAGACACCCCTAGCCAAGGGCCCTTGCAGGCCAGACCGGGAAGGGGACCATAACCTGACAGGGAGCTGACGCTGGGAAGAAGGGTCCCACCACTCAAAGCCCGGAGGTGTGTGGCCACCACCATTGCAAGTGTCCAACCCGCAGCATACCTGCAGCATAGCCAGGGCCTGAGAAGGAGGCCTGGGACCTACAAGGAACAGACTGTGAACTGCCCTGACGTTCCAGAGACATTGTTTGTAATGTTCCCTGCCACAGAGCAGGGTGATGTGTTTTCCTTTAACTTTTCCCATTTTTTCTTATTTGTTTTTAATTAATTGTTAATTAAACAACTTGTATTTGCTTTAAATTGTATGAAATGATCAGTGGGTCAGGGAGGTGCCCAGTGCAAAGAGAGTACCCCGGAGTGGGGACACCCTAGCCCCTGTCCTGGGTGACCACAGCAGGGTTGGGGGTCGAGACCCCCAGGAATTCTGGGCCCAGCCTTGTCGGGGTTTACAAGGACTCTGCCAGACAGAAGAGTGGAAGGGGAGACCTCAAGGGCAGGGAGGCCTCTGGGTAAAGGAAGTGGGAGTGAGGACTCAGATCCTTTCGCTAGCCCATTTCACCGGGGTAGTGCAGAAGCCAGGAAAGTTCCCCACAATAGCGGGACCATTCCCCCGCTTACATTCGTATGCAGGAGCTGCAAAATTGGGCCTGGAGAAGCCCTGCTTCTGCCCAATACACTACCTTCCAAGCCTCTGATTGGTTACATTTCTTTCTCATACTCACCTCTAAAACTGATATATTTATTAATTTGAGAGAAAATGTTTCATCTGTAGACTTCTCTGACAATCCTGGAATCTTATTATATAGATTATATATATTCCAAATATTTATCTGTCAATCTGAAGCCTAGAAAACCTGAGTCAATATGAGGCAAAGGAAACAGCTACAAGCATGGTTAAGGGTTCTTCTTTTTTAGAATATCATCTGGTTGAATCATCATTAGGACTCACAGTCTGTTACCACCCAATTAAGTTCTCATCTATTTTCGGCTTTACAAATCGTACCCTTAGGACGACCTGTGCTTTCACCTAGTACAGAATAAAAAGATCTAGGCCCCTTCGACATAAAATATAAATATCAATAATTCCCTTCATTTTTTACTAAATTGCACAAATTCCATCCCATCTAATTGCCCCAACCAACAAACCCAAAGTCAGAAGTTGAAACAATCACCCTTTCCCAATCATTTAACCCTGATGACTCAACAACCTTTACAGGCACTCAGGAAAAGAGATGTGCTTTATAGTGTGCCCCACAAGCCATCAAGTTCAGGCTGTTTTGAACCTAGGAGGGGGAACAAGTTCCAAAGCCACAGGGACCCCAAAGAGAATGCTCTCCCAAGAGCACTCATTAATATGGTAAACACAGTAATAATTTTATTTTAAACTAATGTATGCACAAGATCAGTTTAGATCTACATCAACCAACAGATCTGTGTGTTTCAACAAAAACATTTGCAGATTAAGGGAATAAAAAAAAGTTGGCCATCAAAATTAGAACCTCAAAAAGTAGACCTTTTAAAATTCCTTCAAAGTCCTAAACATATTTAATTTCCAGAATATTATGCATTCTAAAAGTGGGTGGTATTATTTTGGATATGAAACACAATTATTTTCATCCCTAACAAAGAAAACTGAAACTTCACTTTGAAAATCTCAGAGAAAAATTTAGTTGATGATGATACTCAAGTTCTTGTGCTTCTTTAAACCAGATTGGGCTCCCTCCTGCTTTACGCAGACTCCCAAAAACGTATGTGTGCCATAGGTGCCGGAACTAGGGTGGCGGGGGTGTGTGTGTGTGTGCTGCAGCACCTCATGACTTAAAGTGGTTTCCATCATATACAAGGTTTACAGTTTGTTTCAATGGCTCTCAGAATTTGTTCCAGCACCCCGAGGTGTGCTCCAGTTTCTTTGTATCAAAATGCTGAAGGACTGTACACATTTGAGTTAATTTCATGGATGATTATAGTACCTGTGATTAGATGTTCGGCTACGTGTGTGTGTTCTCCCTGTGTGCTGCCCCAGCTCTGTGCAGACAGCCGGCATGGCAGACCTCAAGCGAATCACCCAATGACCACAAGATCCATTAAGGTATGAAGGCACCAGGCCAGGTTTATTGTCAACAAAGCACGGTAATAGCACCTGGCAGACTCTACGAGGATACTAAGACATCAAGGGAGGCGGGTATCATAGGCTGGAGGAGGCTGAGCCTACCCAAACAGCCACGTGTGGCCTTGCCCACACTCCGCCCCAAGTTCCCCTCCTGCTTCCCGTTCTGCAGGCAACTCTTCCTGTGTGCCATGCCCCAGCTGGGGTTGGCACTGGGGCTGCGCTGCACTGCCCGCCCTCCCGGCGCTGCAGGACTGGGGAGGCTTGGACCACGTTGCTGGGCCTCCCGGCACTCCAGGGCTGAGGCCGTGCCTCCCGGCACTCTGGGGGTGGAGCCGTGCTGCCCGGCCTCCCAGCACTGGGCCATGCTGCCCAGCCTCCCAGCACTGCGGGGATGAGGGCACTAGCCTGGGGTGGGGGCCAGCCAGCGGTTGCAGTGGGGGGACTCTGGGCTCTGTCAGGGCACACAGAAGGGGCAGAGTCTTGGGCAGAAGGAGCGGGGCAGGAGCTAGCCTCCCCAAGCCAGCGGTTCACACACTGCCCATGTAAGACATATATGCCCATGACAACGGACGCAGCTCAGTGAATGGTGACACTTTCCATTCCCCCCTCGGCTGGACAAAGATACTCCCCCGAGATACATCTTTATACCCTGATACAAACAAGTTACGTACTGCCTCTGACATCGTTACTGCGCCTGACGTGGCTAGTTATCACCCACCACCTTGTACATGTTGGTTCGATTAAAACATCTTTATTGCGTACAGTACTGACCTTATCTTTTAAAAGGGGTCAGTGTGTTCCTGTTATCCTTGGGGAACGTTTTTGTACCATCCTTGGTATCAGGATAGTGTAGTACCACTTGATATCGGGGATGTGTTTGCGTGAGTACGCTATGCTTAGTACTTCTTAGGAATGTGCATTTCTGCACTATCAGTCCTGTTTTGCCAGATTCTGTGAGCAGGACCTGCCTCATACCAGGCCTCTGATACAAGGGCTTATGTCTCAGGTAGGGTGACCAGATGTTCTGATTTTATAGGGACAGTCCCAATATTTAGGGCTTTTTCTTATATAAGCTCCTATTACCCCCCACCCCGGTCCGGATTTTTCACATTTGCTGTCTGGTTTCAGAGTAGCAGCCGTGTTAGTCTGTATCCGCAAAAAGAACAGGAGTACTTGTGGCACCTTAGAGACTAACACATTTATTAGAGCATAAGCTTTCGTGGACTACAGCCCACGTCTTCGGATGCATATAGAGTGGAATAAATGTTGAGGAGATATATATATACACACATACAGAGAGCATGAACAGGTGGGAATTGTCTTCCCAACTCTGAGAGGCCAATTAAGTAAGAGAAAGAAAAAAAAAACTTTTGAAGTGATAATCGAGATAGCCCAGTACAGACAGTTTGATAAGAAGTGTGAGAATACTTACAAGGGGAGATAGATTCTATGTTTATAATGGCTCAGCCATTCCCAGTCCTTATTCAATCCTGAGTTGATTGTATCTAGTTTGCATATCAATTCCAGCTCAGCAGTCTCTCCTTGGAGTCTGTTTTTGAAGTTCTCTAATGTGCCACAAGTACTCCTGTTCTACTTGCTGTCTGGTCACCCTAGTCTCAGGCTCTCTTCCTACTACAGTACCCACATGGGGAACTTTTTTTTTTAAATAATTCAATTGACTTTTACTGCATTATAAAGTAAGCAGGTTAATGTTTAGACAAACAACCAGCTAATTCTGCAGCATTGCCAAATTCGCATCCAGTGCCAGGATTCTGTTAAGCCAGGGCCAGAGTACAGTGTCAGGGTATCTCTGCATGCCCATGCACCCACCCGGGTATGTGTGTCCGAACGGGGCACACCCCGCACGGCGCTACTGGGGTTCGGCCGCCGAACCCCGGCCTGTCCCTGCTGCGGCCGGAGCTGTGCGGCGGGAGGTGCTGGAGCCCAGCCACAGGCGAGGTCGACGGGCGGGCGGAGATGCCAGCTTTGCCCTCCACCGCACAGGCTCAGCAGGAAACAAGGGGTGCCCCGCTGCCCTTCCCGGCGCTGCAGCGCGCCCCCGCACCCCCAGGAGCGGCTGCCGGGCTCCCGCACTGAGGGGGCAGTGAGTGCAGGCTCCCCGAGTGCGAAGGGGAGGGGGCCGGGGAGCGCCCGAGCTCCCCCAGTTCGGGGCGGGGGACAGGAAGCCCCGGCTGTTACCTCAGCGTGTTGAGCGGGGGGTTGTTCAGGCGGATCACCGCCACAGCCGCGGCCCCGCGTGCATACTGCTGCGCCATCCCCGCTGCGAGCGGCCTGGACTGTGTCCGGGGCGGGGCGGGGCGGGGCGATCCGGCGTCCCCTGGCGGCTGCGGCAAAGCGCCGGAGAGCGCCCGTGTGCTGCCAGCGACCGGCCGCAAGGCACCTCCCGCTCCGGAGCACCCCCCCGCAGGATACAGCCCCCCCCAGCACCCCGCCGCAAGGCACGTCCCCCATCCCCCCGCAGCACACAGCACCACAGGGTACATGCCCCCTCCCCAGTTCACACTGCCACTGCTACAACCCCCGCAGCATTGAGAGACAGTCACCCCTCCCAGAGCACATCTCCATTATATACCCCCACCCAAAAAACAGCTGCCATTGGGTACAATGCTCCCGCAGAGCACATAATTGCCCCACCCTAAAGCATACCGGCCTCCAGACCGGACAAACGACCCGCCCCAGCACACTGCAACTGGCTCCATCCACCTCCCCAATCCAGAGCACACTGCTATCGGGAACAACCCCTCCCCCACCCAGGAGAGACATGCGCCACTCCATCACGCCATGTATTCCTTGTGTCCCTAGACCTGTGCTGGTAAAGTAGGTGACTGACTCTGTGGAGAAAAGGATTTTTTGTGTATAGAGACCATAAGAACCTGGAATATATACGTAGGGCCAAACTCTTAAACCTGTCACAGCTTCGATGGACGCTGTTTTTCTCACAATTCAATTTCATTATCACCTGTTGCCCGGAATCCAAAAATTGCAAGGCAGACACCCTGTCCAAAAGATATGATTCTAGTCCATGAGGCCCCACCCTCATTCTCAAATTGCTGAACTGTCTTAGTGCAGCTCATCAGCAGGATATACTCTGAAACCTACTTGGGAAGGTGGCAAAACAGTGTAGGTTGGAAAGTATGATTCTTTCATATGGAAATGATACAACTCTTAATTGTGAATATGGCATCTGGACACTATACCAAGAAGGGCACATTAGAAATACATAGATGAGGTACAGATAACCCTCTGGTACAAAGCAACAACACACATTCACCCTGTAAAGAAATAGATACCCAGCATAGAATAACACTGTGCTCTGAATGAGGCAGGGATCCTCCCCTCCCCACCTAGGCACATAGCAGTGAAATACAGACACACATGTATGTATAACAACAAAAAGGGCACAAAATAATGAGATGCAAACCCTTCCCTCTCCCACCACTGGTAAAGAGCAATGAGATACAGAAACTTTGAAGCGTTAGTTATTGGTCATTGGGGGTAACATGCAGAGTAAGGGGGTATGTTGGTGTTTTGGGGCTCCACCAGGTATAGACCAATGAGGCATGGGCACAGAACAATAAACTACAGAATCCTCTGAGGCACAGAATCATGAGATACAGTTCTCCTCCCCAGCACTGCCAAAGAAGATAGACTTCACTCCCCAGACATCATACTATATGGACCTCCTGGTAGAACAGTGAGATAGCAACCTGCACCCTAAAAAGAGCACCATAAGATACAGACCTCTCCTGCTACAGTGCAATGAGCTATGGAAACCACTCCTGAGGTTGAAAGCAATATGATAATATATTCGCACCTCTGGCATAGAGCAATGAGATAGTGACCTCACTTTTCCTCTCAAAAGAACAGACCAGAGATCGGGTACAGGCATAAAGCACTGAAATATTGATCCTCACGTAATCACAAGGCAATGATATCCATACCCCGCCCTCTACTCAGGCCCAATACAATGAGATAAAATCCCTTCAGCTCCTAGAACAAAGTTGTATGATATGGATCCCTCCCTCCCAGCACAGAACCTACCAATATGGACTCCTACCTTAGGCACAGAGATATGAGAGCTGATGCTCTGCATTCCCTACCTTTCCTATCTCCCACTCTACATGCTGCAGGTGTTTTTCAAGTTTAAATAGTTAACAAAAGTCACCAGTTCAAATTAAGCATCTTAGTGGTTGCCAGAATCATAGCTTAATTGTTGCTGTTTTTTTGTTTGTACCCGTTGCTACAGTTGATTTCAAAGTTCTGAAATATTTGAGTGGTTTCAGTGCAGCACCTTCTGGAAAGAGTCAGTATTGCGGTCCTTGCCAAGGTCCCTTCCTGATGTTTTAATGTTTGAAGAAAAGTATGATTCACTAGTGATTTTCAGTTGTGTACACTTGCCTTTAAAAATGCAGAATGACAATGTGTGATTTTGTATGCAGTGAGTTGAAGACATAGGCGCCGACTTCTACTGGCGCTGGTGGGTGCTCGACTCCCCTCTGCCCTCGGCCCCGCCCCGACTCCACCCCTGCCCCCCAAAGTCCCTGCCCCAACTCCGCTCCCTCCCTGCCCCTATTCCAACTCCTTCCCCAAATCCCCGCCCCGGCCCCACCTCTTCCCCGCCTCCTCCCCTGAGCGTGCCACATACCCGCTCTTCCCCCCTCCCTCCCGGAGCTTGCTATGCCGCCAAAGAGCTGTTTGGCGGCAGCAAGCGCTGGGAGGTAGGGTAAGCGGAGGAGCTGGGACGCGGCGTGCTCAGGCGAGGAGGTGGGGCGGGGGGAGGGGAGATTGGCTGCCGGTGGGTGCAGAACACCCACTAATCTTTCCCCGTGGGTGCTCCAGCCCCAGAGCACCCACAGAGTCAGCACCTATGGTTGTAGCCATGTTGGTTCCAGGATATTAAAGAGATAAGGTGGGTGAGGATGTGACAGTGTACCCCATAAGCTTTATGGGGGGGATGCTTATAAATGTATGTATGACATAACTGGAATATGTTTTGTGCTCCCTGTGCCATGTACTATATCTCCGTAAAGGTTATGGTCTACTATATCTATTCATCCTATTTGTACATATATATCATTCTCTACTTAAGGTTAAGAATATGGGCTGTATGCTTGCTTGGTTTCTAAGTAAGCTTTGTGAGGCATTTAGTCAGCTTCTTTAGGAAGGAATTCGCCAGGTTAAGTACCTGATCAGGAAACACTTGGGGAACAATGTATCTTGGAATGCTCCAATCCACATAAGAAGTCTTCCTGGAGACCTGCAAGATACCATGTGGACAATGGCTTTGGCCTGTAAAGACTGAGTCATGCAGGGACATGTGACTTGCCCAGGTGACTCCGGAACTCCATCTTGGAGCTGGACTTTGCATAGGAGGGAGGAGGGGGGTCTCCACCCACAAGAGAGAGTCTATTTAAACCCGTGGGAGACCCCTCCATTTTTGTCTTCAGCTGGCTAAGGAAGGAGCCTCTCCACCCCCCGCCCCCCAGGATACTTGAAGGGAACTGGAACAAACGACA